AGACCCTCATAAGGTTCTCCAGCCGAGCAGGAGAAATGAAAGCATGAAGTGTCTCTCTCATCTGGGCTGGAATGTCATACTTTTTTTTTTACCTTATTATATGGTCTCCTACTCCGTCTCTTCCATTCCAGTCTTTTGTTCTGTTTAATGGGTTTTTCCTGTTATGCAGTTGCTTTTGATCTCTATACCTTTAGAGTGACACAAACAAAATTACAACCACAAAACATCACAGAATTGATTCATCCATGTATGAGTTTAATTTATTTTATTTTGAGCTCGTCATTTTTCATCAAAATGGCTCAATCTTCTGCTGAAATGGCAGACTTTTCTCTGGTAACTTATGCTAGACATCTCCAATTATTTAGTTGGCTTAAATTCTTTTTATAACTGACTTCAATCTTGCATTTAGCCAAATACCTCCCTCCAATCAACAACTGATGGATAAAACAAATTCCTGCACTACTTTTTTTTCCCCTTCACAATCCATTTTCATATTTTCAGATCTACATCACAATCTGTCATTACTTCCTTTACTATTTTAAGGACCATTTTTTTGTTGTTTTTTTTGTACTTTAATGGATTATACAAAAGCAGTAGTGGACAGTAACAAGGATCTGTACTTCTCCAATCAACAACTGATGGATAAAACAAATTCCTGCACTACTTTTTTTTTCCCTTCACAATCCATTTTCATATTTTCAGATCTACATCACAATCTGTCATTACTTCCTTTACTATTTTAAGGACCATTTTTTTGTTGTTTTTTTTTGTACTTTAATGGATTATACAAAAGCAGTAGTGGACAGTAACAAGGATCTGTACTTTACTAGAGTAGTTTTATTTTGAGTAACTTTTACTTTACTACATTCCAAATACATCTCATAACGATATCATTACTCCTTATTTTAAAATGAACAAATCATCACGTGCTCCGAGATGCAAAAGTGGCATCTGATTCATGAATTAACTGATTGTTTTCAATGAACCTGTGAATACTTCTAGATCACTCTTGTCAACGTAGTCCATAGAAACAACAAAAATGTATCTTAAAGTCCCCATGAAATCAAAATTAAATTTTTTTTGGGTGTTAGTATCAATATGTTAGTCTTAAGGTTATCTATAAGGCGGTGAGCTCCAAAACAGTGACAAAATTTGCATTTAAAAGATATAAGCACTCAAAGCTTGCAGTTGTCACTTTCGCCAAAACAGCTCAACGATTTTTTTGACGTCACATCGTACTTCAGCTTCTCATCAAACTTTCTGTCCAATCAAATGCTCTCTAGAATCCAAAGCGCCCGCACCCTACACTATAAAATAGATGCTGAAGCCGCGGCTGAAATCGATCACTTGTCCACAGAATGAGTATTTTCTGTACAGTGAATGGCACGTAGTGCACTATATAAGGGACAGGGAACAATTCAACAGTGTAAATATGCTTTCCATTGAGGAAAAAAAAAGAAGTCTGGTTTCGCGCTGTGTCACGCTAACCACCGCACCACACGCGCGAGTCTGCATTTAAAAGATATAAGCACTCAAAGCTTGCAGTTCGTCACTTTCGCCAAAACAGCTCAACGATTTTTTTGACGTCACATCGTACTTCAGCTTCTCATCAAACTTTCTGTCCAATCAAATGCTCTCTAGAATCCAAAGCGCCCGCACCCTACACTATAAAATAGATGCTGAAGCCGCGGCTGAAATCGATCACTTGTCCACAGAATGATTATTTTCTGTACAGTGAATGGCACGTAGTGCACTATATAAGGGACAGGGAACAATTCAACAGTGTAAATATGCTTTCCATTGAGGAAAAAAAAAGAAGTCTGGTTTCGCGCTGTGTCACGCTAACCACCGCACCACACGCGTGAGTCGGCGCAGACCACAAAATGTATGGGAGCTATTTGAATTCTACACAGAATGGTATATTTGATAGCAATATGGATGAGATTGTGGCTGGCATACCCTGTCAAATGCGGCTTTAAGGAGCTCAACGACTCTGAACGGCTCTAGCCCAAGCTGTGATATAAACAAACGCTATTAGCTATTTTAAAAAGGGGCAGGGCTGCTTGATATGTCCCGCCCCGTCTTCCTGTTTCAGTTAAAACGACGTCAACACAGTGTTGACATTTCAGGGGACCTTTAACTCCATATAGTTGTTATTTTGATAAAAACCCAGGTATTTGGATCAGTAGGATTATATAAAATATATAATATAAAAATCTAATTATACAAGTAGCCTATATAAAATGACAAAATAAACATTCATCAATCAGTGTTTTTTAATTTAAATAATAAACTACTTTTGTACTTTCACTCAGGTACAATAGAAAAGGAGTGTTCATACTTTTACTGAAGTAATATTTTATCATACGTATCTGTACTTTTACTCAAGTAGCCTACTTGATTTGAGTACTTCATCCACCAATGTACAAAAGGCTAACATGTTGGAGAAGGTTGTTGGGTTTTAGAAGCTTTTAGAACTTAGCGTAGCACAATTACTTAGCCCAGCTAGTAAAAATGGCAACATGCATTCAAACCAGAGTATTTACATCTTTACAATTCACCCCCTTTGTTCACTTAATTTGTTAGTAATATGGTTTGCATCTTCAAAAAGTGTGAATTTAAAATTAAATGTAATAGATTAAGACAATGTATGATGAGGACATGAAAAATGTACTGCATAACAAGATGCTAATGGTCTCTTTGTGCTTTTGTGCAATAGACCATGCAGCATCTCACAGACATGATTTGCAATTGCCCTTAGCACTTAGATTGTTTTATGGCATGGTTTCAAAATATATGAGTTACTTTTAAAGTGTGCGAATCTATGTGGGTGGACGGGGTGTCCTTTCTATGGCAACCTGTATTTAAGAGCAATCCAAATCCCGAGAGAGAAAACTGCCAGAGACTGTACAGTTTTCGTTGGGGCTTTGAAAGCGTTCTAATTTGGGAATCTAATCATACTCTTTTCAACAGTGTTTTAAAACAGGTGCTTAAAAGGTGTGCACAGAGCTTTATAATCTTGCTCCACAGGAAATTAGGCCTTTAAAATGCTAATTGACACTCAACTTCGTTCAACTGGAAGTGGATTGTAAACTGTCATACTGTCCATGTAAACTTGGAGCTGCAAAACCGTTCAATGAAAATATGAACTGTTTCATGCTCCGCTTGCTTCCACAAAGGCAGGTATCCAGGAAGCCATAGCTATAAGCCAGCAACTTACTAGGAGCCTTCACCTGCAAATTTAAGTACCAAGCAAACTCTCGGAGGATTATAATGACGTATCTTTGTTTTGCATCTCAGCAGGCACTCTTAAACATTAGAGGCGATGCTGTCAGGATAAACAACAAACCCGTTGGAGCGTATGTTTGGGCCACCGGCAGCTCATTGTGGATGCAGCACATGTGCTAACATCCACGCATGAACTTCGGGAATGCCAGTAATTTAGGTCTTCTGGAAGAGCTAAAGGGTTAAACAAATTAGTGAAGAGCTGTCATGTGAATTTTAAAGAATAATTCATTTGGACAAATTTACAAAATGGCTGAAAGGCAGTCAATTGCAATTTAGGTTTAAATGAAGCACTGACATGTTCCACACATCAAGATTTGATTGTTCATAAAATGATTTCCATACTGGAACCTCTAATATGGCAACAGTGCATTGAAACCTATTTTTGTTTTCATGCCTAATTAGTTCACTTATATTCTTGTCAATTCTTAGACTTTGCTTGTGCTTCTTGCCTTAAAAAGCTGGAGCAACAGTCTCCAGTGGTGTGCTACTGGCATCTAGTGGTGAATACTGAAAAATATGAGCCGAGTCCAAGTAAATCATAGAATCTGACTAAAGATAAAATTCATCAAGCAATTTTTTATTTATTTATTTTCACAACAGAGTGTAACTAAACTTAATAAATAAACCAAAAAGTTCAAAACCACTGTCTAAACTACCATACAAACAAAGTAGCTATGTAATACAGGTATGGTGAACACTATATTTTTACTGCCTCTAAAGATGGCCCACAGTACGTGAATGTGACAAACAGGAACACACCTGGGCTGTTCAGTCAGACAGGGCATTAGAGAAAAACAGGTTGACTTACAAGAGAGCACTCTTATACAGTGCTGCTATTGTGAGCTAAATGCTAACATTAACTTAAGTTACTGGAGAAAATACTTTCTCTGGTTTGAATATCACTTACATGGTTCTTGTGGTGTTGGTGTGGATGTTAAAACTTCCGGCAAAGTAGCTTTCCTTTTAGAAAACGTCAGAACACTAATGTTGAGTAGCTACACCTACAAGCAAATGATTGCTGTTACCTAGAACAAATTGATTTTGAGGCCTTGATTTGAATAAAACCTTTTCCAAGAACTCTTCACAGTTATCCCCATTGCTAGCATGTCAAACAGGTGTTCTGAATTACATTCTGTCAGATTTGAAACACTGCCCCCTGTGTGTAGTAAAATCACAACTGTTGGACCTGGAGTGACCCACAGCCCATGTGATACAGATTTTACAGACAACGACAACAGTCTCTGTCTGTAAAATTTTCTGAGCTGAATTTAGCGCTGGGTCAAACAGAACAAGGTTGCTTAACTATTGCATACAAATTCTATAACATACAAAGAAATGTATAAGCCATAGAGAACGTGAAATGTTGAGCAAACAATATCAGGGGGCGAGGGATGAATGGACCAGAATGAAGGGACAAAAACAGAGGTGGGTCTTCTCAGAGAAGGTAGATTAGATCACCGTTCTGGCTTCCTGTTGACCTGCACAAGGTCACCCACAGGACCCGGTACCCAAATATTTCAGGCCAAAGGTGAAAAAAACCCTACCAAAATCCCTATACGTGTGTTGGTGCGTGCACTTATTTATATATCTTCAAACGTCCTCCTTCTTTGGGGCATGACAGGTGGCCCCCCACAGCTCCACCTGTCCATCCTTTTCCACAGCCACATGGTGGCAGACAAATCCAGAAAGGGAACAGTCATTCAAGAAATGGCATGCTGAAGTGCTACGGGGCCACGGAAGATCTCTGGATACCGGATCAGACGCAGCTGCCCCCCGGCTGCTATTTTCACTCAGCTTAAAGCACCATGGGCAGCCAGCATCTACAATATGGACTACCAACAACAACCAGTCTGTCTCTGCACGCCATGAAGTCCACCACAGAGGAACACGAGCATCCTGCACACGATACCCTGAGCTTGCCCTCCGACCCTGATGAGCTCGACAGTGGCAGCGAAAGCTCGGAGAAATCCACCGGAGCTGGGAGCCCCATGCAGGGCCACAGGGAGGCGGGGAGACGCAGAGGGGGTCGTAGACTTGCAGGGGTGAGCAAACAACGTCAGGCAGCTAATGCTCGGGAGCGAGACCGCACACATAGTGTCAACACTGCCTTCACGGCTCTGCGTACCCTTATCCCCACAGAGCCGGCCGACAGGAAGCTGTCAAAAATCGAGACCCTGCGATTGGCATCGAGCTACATTTCACACTTGGCCAACGTGCTTCTGCTAGGGGAGGACTGCATGGACGGGCAACCATGTCTGAAATATCATAACATCTTACAAAGCAACCACAACCTCAAATCTCCACCGGTTCGACCCATCTGCACCTTCTGCTTGAGTAACCAGAGGAAAATGGTGAGTCCTTGAAGGTGGTCAACTATCAACTGCCACCTGTTGATTCTGTGAAGGTTGGATTGCCAGAAATTGTGACATATTTGGTAATGTATTTGCATGCCAAAACTTCCTATTACTTGCCAGAAGTGCCTTGCAACTACCTTTTCCTGAATTGTCCTCTTAAGTGTTCAACTGCAATAATGCAATCCTACGTATTTAGCATAGAATTGTAAACAGATTGTTGTGCGGGTGTGAATTCTAATACCTTTCAATTATCATGTACTTCTGCAGCTTAGAGATGTGGAAAAGCACACAACTGGGTGACAGCAGAAGTTCTCCCGACTGTCCGCTACTCAACTTCTGAATGTTTACATGTAATGAGACATTGCCTTGCACAGAGACAAAACTTTTTTTTTTTTTTTCCATCTCTTGAGGACAGACAAAACAAGCAACAAAGAGAGAGACGAATCTGCACTTTTTCTGCATGTGTGTTCACTTTATCAACTGTGTTTTGGTTAATGTAACCGGAGAATATGTGTAAAGTTGCACCTGGTGGGAGGCTATTTCAGTATCAGATATAGTAAGCTACACCATCCCTCGCCTTAAAAAACAGTCTTGTGTCTGCCTCCTGCACGTCACATGATGGTAATTGAAACCTTGCGGTTTGCAGTGGTCGCTGTCAGTACAACGGTGGGTAAAAATCTCATCCCCTCCCTCATGTCTCCACATCTATGCCAGGACCACAATCCCTACACGGCTCTCAGGAGACTGTAAACAAGATTCTAACCTCAGCATGATAATTTGGGTTGGGCAAAGCATGCTAAATATTTATTAGAGAGTTCAAGTGGCACATGACTGAATGCTATAGCCCCCGGCTGCTATTTTCACTCAGCTTAAAGCACCATGGGCAGCCAGCATCTACAATATGGACTACCAACAACAACCAGTCTGTCTCTGCACGCCATGAAGTCCACCACAGAGGAACACGAGCATCCTGCACACGATACCCTGAGCTTGCCCTCCGACCCTGATGAGCTCGACAGTGGCAGCGAAAGCTCGGAGAAATCCACCGGAGCTGGGAGCCCCATGCAGGGCCACAGGGAGGCGGGGAGACGCAGAGGGGGTCGTAGACTTGCAGGGGTGAGCAAACAACGTCAGGCAGCTAACGCTCGGGAGCGAGACCGCACACACAGCGTCAACACTGCCTTCACAGCTCTGCGTACCCTGGTCCCCACGGAGCCGGCCGACAGGAAGTTGTCAAAAATCGAGACCCTGCGATTGGCATCAAGCTACATTTCACACTTGGCCAATGTACTTCTGCTAGGGGAGGACTGCAGGGATGGGCAACCGTGTCTGAAATATCACAACATCTTACAAAGCAACACCAACCTCAAAACTCCCCCAGTCCGACCCATCTGTACCTTCTGCTTGAGTAACCAAAGGAAAATGGTGAGTCCTTGAAGGTGGTCAACTATCAACTGCCACCTGTTGATTCTGTGAAGGTTGGATTGCCAGAAATTGTGACATATTTGGTAATGTATTTGCATGCCAAAACTTCCTATTACTTGCCAGAAGTGCCTTGCAACTACCTTTTCCTGAATTGTCCTCTTAAGTGTTCAACTGCAATAATGCAATCCTACGTATTTAGCATAGAATTGTAAACAGATTGTTGTGCGGGTGTGAATTCTAATACCTTTCAATTATCATGTACTTCTGCAGCTTAGAGACGGGGAAAAGCACACAACTGCGTGACAGCAGAAGTTCTCCCAACTGACCGCTGCTACATACGAGCTCTCAACTTCTGAATGTTTACATGTAAAGAGACATTGCCTTGCACAGAGACAAAACATTTTTTTTATTTTTTTTTTATTGTTTAATCTCTGAGGACAGACAAAACGAGCAACATGAAAGAGACGAATCTGCACTTTTTCTGCATGTGTGTCCACCTTATCAACTGTGTTTTGGTTAATGTAACCGGAGAATATGTGTAAAGTTGCACCTGGTGGGAGGCTATTTCAGTATCAGATATAGTAAGCTACACCATCCCTCGCCTTAAAAAACAGTCTTGTGTCTGCCTCCTGCACGTCACATGATGGTAATTGAAACCTTGCGGTTTGCAGTGGTCGCTGTCAGTACAACGGTGGGTAAAAATCTCATCCCCTCCCTCATGTCTCCACATCTATGCCAGGACCACAATCCCTACACGGCTCTCAGGAGACTGTAAACAAGATTCTAACCTAAGCATGATAATTTGGGTTGGGCAAAGCATGCTAAATATTTATTAGAAAGTTCAAGTGGCACATGACTGAATGCTATAGGTGGAAGTATTTCATAATGAGAGCATAATCTTTCATGTCTCGGGAACTGGTGTTGGTCAAGGTACATGATCCCTAACACGAGCCCTGGGTTATGACCCTTACCCCAATTGTTCTGTAGCCTTGTCTCAAATGCTACTCTAAATACTTTTGGTCTTTCTTTACTGCTTTGGTGAGATAATGTTGTGTAGACTAAGTAGTAGTGCTCACCAGTGCAGGCTCAGGAAAAAAGGTACATTGATGCTTGTGCTTCTTAATCATAAAATGCCAAATTGTATATTTCACTGAAATTGCACGAAGGAAGGCCATTTGAGCACAAGTTCAACTCACGAGTGCCTACGTCAAGGCAGAAGCTTGTTGCATTGCATGCATTTCAAGACTTGTTGTCGTCAATGTTAGAGTGCAGACTTGATGCATCAATTATGCAATCATTTTCCACAACTTTATAGTATGCAATTGTATCTCTTATATTATATTGACAATATATATTACTATATATACTTTATTGTACTATATATATTACTATATTGATTCGTGATGTCAACATGATTTTTTTGTCCACTGATTTGCACCAAATGGAAGCAAAAAGTGGTCTTCTGAGAAATTAGTAGATGGAAGTTTCATCTGGGAATTTCACTGGCTATTGCTAATTGCAGCTGTCTTGCATTTTAAAGTGTGCATGACTTAATAAAGGCCAATTTGGTTTCAGAAAGTGTTCCAGAATGTGTCCCACAAGTTGGCACATTTTAAGTTGACAAAGGTCAAGGGGAAAGATCAGCAAGCTTCTGTCTTGTAGCATGCGCTAAGCTCAAGTACACTACTGAAACATCAACTGCTGAACCTTTTGTTATATTGTTTACATTAATAGGAATGACAATTTTGAGCCTAACATTTACTGATTACAATTTATTTTCAGATACCTCATCTTTGACATGAACGCTTAAAGGTAGCATTATTTCAGTGAAAGCATCAAGATGTCGATGTCGACCAACCAGTCGTTTCTATCCAAAATGTTTACCTGCGTGTCTTGCACAAATCAAAACTTCAGCTTGTAGGTTTGTCCGAATCTGCAGACTGTGCAGAATGACTCTTGCTTGCAATGAAAACACGTTTTATCAATACAGATGTGAAAAAAAAGGTGCAATGGAACTACCACATAATGTACTGGAAATATTGTAAGGCTTTTGTAAATATTTTTTTTTAACAATGCATTATACCAACAATATGGCCTACCTTCAAAACATCTTAAACGAATACTCCACCCCAAAGTGAAAATTTTGTCATTAATCAATTACCAAACATACAAACAAAAATTACCAAGTTCCAAACCCGTAAAAGCTTCGTTCGTCTTCAGAACACAATTTAAGATATTTTGGATAAAATCCGGGAGGCTTGTGACGATCACATTCACTGCCAAGTAAAAGTATGAAAGACATCGTCAGAATAGTCCATCTGCCATCAGTGGTTCAACCGTAATGTTATGAAGCGACGAGAATACTTTTTGTACGCAAAGAAAAAAATGACTTTATTCAACGATTTGTCTCCTCTGTGTCTTGCATCACCGTAGCGCCATTTTGGAGAATATGCGCTGAACGCAAGCAGCGTACACTCTTCTGTGTCAGCCGCGACTCAAGGATACGTTGTCTACGTGTATTTACGCTTTGATTTGAACGATTGATTGACAAAATTCTCATTTTGGGGTGGAGTAACCCTTTAAACACTAGCCTGTCGTATTCTAATACTTGAATTGTCCGCTCTTCTAAAAGTGGTCCTTTGCACATGCCAAGCATCAAATGAGCTGCTATTTAATGAGCAAGTATTTTTGTACAAGAAAAACATCTGTACTCGTGACTTTTTCAAACCATAAAATGATTTTTGGAAAATGTTCTGAATGAGCTCCATCTTTGGTTTTGAGGTGCCCCCTAGAGGAAGCCACATACTGCATGCAATTTTAAAATGGTGGACTGAAATCTGATTATGCAATTACTCAAAAACCAGCATGCTAAACAGAAAATAAGGCAAGAATCACAATGTATATGCTTCTAGGTCTTTATTTCTTTAAAAAAAGTCAATTAGTTATTCAGATTAAAGAAATTGGTGACAAATAGGATGAAGATACATAGAAGAGGGAGTCATTTAAGGGTCTTTACAGGGTGATCTGCAATTTGTTCTCAGCACTGTACAGTTTCATAGGCAGGGAACAGAACACTGATGGATGTTATGGGAGAAGAACTTAACCCTTTGGCAATAACATCATGATGAGACAAGGAGACCATTTTTTCCCTTTGTGGACACTGATCATGACAGGGCATGAAGGCATCAATACCATATAGAAAAGGGTATCTTAAAAGCAAACAAGGCAGCCTGATCTAATTCAATGGAATGTCAATTCATAAAGGAATCACTATAACAATAATTTAAGATGTCCAAACTGTGTCAACACTTAAAAGTTCCTTGAGTGAGTAAATAATTACAAAGGTTGACCACAACGTTTGTGCTATTTTAAGTGTAAACCTTAATATTAGAAAAATCTGTTAAAACTAATCATTTGTTATAAAGCCCTTAAATGACATCTAAATGTTATGGTTTGAAAAACAGGAGGTAGAATAAAAATAAAAAAAAAAGCCAAAATTTTTTAGAAAGACGAGCACTTCTGTAACAAAACATTCTGCTGACATGGTGTTTTAGTCTCCCTCCTCTTCCTCGGATTCGGACTCTGAAAGGAACAAAAAATATCATTAGATGAACTATTTTAACCTGAAAGTTTCAGAGAAAAACAAAAAAAAAACCCGCTTACCCTCTTCGGCATTCTTCAGCCATTCTACGAACTTCTTCATCTGCTCAAGGAAGACGCTCTTTCCTTTGGCCACGTGGGATTCTGTGTACCACTTCAAAATAACCTCCTCGCTCAAAACATCAGCTAGAGGCAAGAAAAAAAAAACCTCTTCAAAACACTTTAACCAGCCATAACCTATGCACAGCGCTGCACAGGCTAGGTAACATTTTTTGTACAAAACATACCACAGTGTGCCAAGCCT